CCTCCCCCCGGCCGCCCGGCGGGCCCCTCTCCGAGGGCGGGCCCCGCCGCTGAGTGAAGTCCTGAGGCCCGGCGACTGGCCCCCTCCGCCGAGGGAACAAGGGGCTCTGAGGGGACTTCACCTCAGGCAACCTGTCAACTGACTGGTGCCGCCTTCAGGAACAAAGCCGTTACTGGAGGAAACCCAGTGGTCCCAGTCCAACCAGCAAGCGGTGCCTGTGGTTGCTCTCATCCCAGGTTATCGGGGGGTGAAGCTGAGCTGGAGGTGCTGAGCTCTGGTTCATGATGGTGGGGTGTGTTTTGGCTTGAGTGGGAACCCATGGTCTTGCTTGGGAACAAGTGGTAGTTCTGAGCGCTCCTAAATTCTGTCTTTTTTTAGCATGCAAAGTGAGTGGAGCAGTTGTTTTAAACCAGGCAATTGCAAGCTCTGCGTAGCAAGACTGGCTTCTGTTAGTGATCCCGGGAGACTTAGTCCCTAATTTCTGTGCTGTATGGGCAGAGGTGAGAGAGTCTTCAGAAAAACAAGTTCTTTTTTTAACCCTTCAGTATTCCCCAGCTAAAACCAATTAACACTCGTTGTGGCTGCTTTTGTGATGGCTAAACCATGTGTGCTGGCAGCTGGAGTGTTGGTGAGGGGCTCCAGCTATAACTGTGCAAAGGATGGGAGCTGTGTTTTGTGAGGAGTTTCAGGATCTCGTTGCTTTGCTGCAGTTTATCTCGACTGGAACAGTCTCCCTTAACCAATTAAAACCTTATTTGCTTTGATAATGTGCTGAAACAGGCAGCTGTGATATTGCCTGTTTCCAAAGCTGCTTGAGTGATAGCTTCAAAATGTTTTGTTCCAAAAAAACCCTGCTAAAAGTAGGTGCCTCAATAGGGAAACTTTTTTAAAAACAGGAGTTTTGGCAAAACTGGTAGTGTTCTGAAGTCAGTGCTCCCCTGGAAAATAATACCATCAAAATCCCTTCCAGTCTTGATTCCAGCCAGGTGTGTTCAAAACCCTCTCCATGCAGTAAACCCAGGGAGAGCTGCTTAAGCTCAGTCTTGCTGATGGTGAGAGAGCTGATGCAGCCTAGCCTAATCCTGTTTGGGATGAGTTGGATGTGTGAGCTTGTTGCTTTGTTAGCGGTGTTGCTTGGTAGGAACAGTTATACCAATATTATGCTTTGTATTGGTGTAGCTGACTTCAGCTTAGGAAATGAAAATTACTGGTTAAAAAAAGGACTTTTAGAGCTGCCTTTGATCAATGTATGGAGCCATCTTGGCTTGATGACTGACACCATTTTAACAGCATCTTACGTTTTGTCTCAGGATTCAAGGCCCTCTTGGCTGTAGCAACAAGGCTGAGAACCCCTTTGGGCATCAGCATGGCGCTGCCCCAGTGGGATTGCTATGAAAGGTGTAAAAAGCAAAGGCTGAATTGTAGCTGAGGTGGGCGAGCCTTGCCTGCTCCAGAGTGTCCCCAGGAGCTAATGCACATCTTGGCCATACCAGCAGCTGAGCTGTGTTTAATGACTTCCCAAAGGATTAGGCTATCCTAATCCTGTGCTAGCGTTGTTGTGATGCTGTGGGTTCTGCCTAGCCCTGGGATTTCATTATCTGTAGGTTGTTTCCTACTGGCTTGTCTGCCTTGGGGCTGAGGAGGTGCCTTCATTTCCACTTACCTTGGACATCTTTGGTGGCTTTTGCTCCACAGGTGTACATTGTTCCACTGACTGAGCTGCTGCAGGTTGTGCATGTGTCTCAGCAGTAGGACCTCCTGCAGGTAAATGGCAGGCTGCAGCCATGGGGTCTGCTTGGGGCTGATGGGATGTGAACTCCAGAGACCTGACAGCTGCTGTGCTTCGGCTGCCAGCTTCTCGATGCAGAGCCAGCAAACAAGAGCTCTCTACCATGGTGGTAAGGCTCATCGGTTGTCTTTCTGTTACTCTGAGGGGGTGGAAACTCCTCCTCCCTATTTCAAATCAAGCCTGGCACTCCCTTTCTCACTCGGGTGTGTTTTGTTTGGAGTGCTAGAGGTGTCTGGAGCCTGATGGTGCCCTCCTTGAGACCTCAGAGCATCCTGGGGGTGCATCTTCATGCTTGGACATGGGTTCTTGGCTAAGGGTTTAGCTGAGCCAGGATACAATGGACTGTACTCCTGTCCGAGATTCATCTTGCTGTGTGCCTTTGTGCGGTTCTTCTTGGGTCTGTGTTCCAGATCTACCACGATGATTTAACCTGAAGCCTTTAAATCGTTTGCTCTGTGGTACTGTGTGCCTACTGCAGGGAACTGAATTGCCTTTCTCATTTGTTCCTGATCTAGGAATATCCCTAGAAACTCTCAGCTCTTAAATGGGGGCTGGGTGTCTTACCAGGTGTCAGGAAGTAGTGTTTGACTCCTGATGACTTTAAATCACCTGTCAGCTGGATCACACTTCTGTTTTGACTTGTCTGTCTACTGACTGCGCTGATAAAATGGTGTCCCCTGCTCTGATTTGGGATTGTGCACTGTAGCAGGCAGGACGGGCTGAGAACGGCCATTGTTGGGTCACACCCTGGTTTCACACAATGTGACAGGTCACTGCTGGGGCCTGCGGAAGGAGGAGAACCACCCACCAGTGCTCCTGGACTGGTGCCTCAGTGAAAGCAGAAGGGATCGCCAGCTCCGAGCCTGGGCTGTAGCTGTAGTTGCTGCTGTGTGGAGGACTTCCAGAGAAGCCTGAACAGACAGCATGTGTTTAACTATTGCAAAATCCTTCAAGATGGAGCATTGAAAGCTAATCCTAGCTGGGCTCAAGAGTGTTCCTTTGCTTGTCTTGGCTTTGGGATGTGAGAGTGGAGCAGGTTCTGGAGGACAGAGCCTCAGGCATGGTATTTCCCTGTGCTTTGGTATTAACTCTGAGACTAAAGGATATGGGCGTATTCTTCAGCTACGTGTTTGCAAACTCTTTCCACCAGACTATCCAGGCTGCTGAATGGTTTGGGCCTTGTGTGCTTTGAAGACCTGCAGGCCTCTTCTCAAAGGAGTATCTCTTTTAGGGGTTTAGGGAGGAGGGTGAACTTTACCAGGGAAAGGTACCGATGGGCATGAGCC